AATTATGATATTTTTAAAGATATAAGCTCATCCTGATGTTACACTCATCGAGACCTTTCATTTGAATACCCACATCAATTTTTCATATATGTTATATATTTATATATATTATATATATATGTATATATGAAAAATATATCAAAAACGGATGTGGGTACTCAAATGAAAGCTCTTGATTAGTCTAACATCAAGATGAGCTTATATTTTAAACAATGTCAATATTTAAGAAAGTACAGTGCAATTTAACAAAATTCATTATTTAATAAAGCAAATAATATTAATTTGTACAAAAATTTACAGTTCTATTATAATTATTAAAATTTTCCAGCTCAATAATAATAATAATAATAATAGTGAATAATTATTTCTAGATTGCAAATGCAGTATGGTGGTATTACTTCAGTAAATTGCTCGAGTTTTGCGATACATTTTTCTTCATATTACGGAAAAAAGACAATCAATTAAGTTTCTTGCATGTTTATCATCATTCAACAATGTTCTCATTATGGTGGATTGGTATTAAATGGGTGCCCAGCGGGTCTAGTGAGTAATTACATTGCAATTACAAAGATAACTGTATTTGCGTAACAGTAACTGAATTTATCGTCGCAATTATTATCAAAAGTAAAAACGTAAACAATGTCAACTCGAGAAATATAATAAATAATTCATTTTTTTTTGTTATTCTTGCCTGCAGCATTTTTACCGGCGATGGTAAACAGCTTTATCCACGTCCTGATGTACTCGTACTACGGACTGGCTGCGTTCGGGCCAGAGGTCGCTAAATTCTTGTGGTGGAAGAAATATCTGACGATACTCCAGCTGATTCAGTTTACAAGTGCTCTGGTTCTGGGGATCAATGGCATCAGGTCCGGGTGCGACTTCCCGCTTTGGATGCAGTATGCACTTGTGTTATACATGATCTCATTTATTGTATTATTTGGTAACTTTTATGCCAAGGCTTATATTGCCAAGGTAAGTTTCTTTTTTTTTTATATATAATTATATTAATATTTATTTTTATATAATTATACATAAATCATTTTTTAGAAAATTATATCAAGGCACAAAATGTCATATAATTATTCATAAATAATTTTAAAAAATTATATTGACAGTCAAAAGTCATATAATTATATATAACTAGTTATATAAAATTATATTGAGGTCATAAGTCGTATAATTATACATAAGTGTTTATATAAAATTATATGACAGTTAAAAATTATATAATTATATATAACTACTTTTAGAAAATTATATTACGACTAAATAACATATAATTATAGAAAAATATTCTGTATAAAATTATATCAAGGTACAAAAAGTCATATAATCATTCATAATCAATTTTGAAAAATTATATTGATCGTCAAAAGTCATATAATTATATACAAGTACTTATATAAAATTATATAAAGCTTTTTTTAATTTATTTTGAAAAAATATATTAATTTTTAGATTTTATATAATTATATAAAATTATATTTAGGTACAAGAAGTCATATAATTATATATAAGTACTTATATAAAATTATATGTAGTTTTTTTTGCCTAGTTTGAAACAATAAATCAATTTTATGACTTCATATAATTATATAAAATTATATCACAGTAAAAAATTATATACAATTACTTTTATAAAATTATATTACAGCTAAAAGTCATATAATTATACATAACTAGTTATATAAAATTATATCAAACAAATTTAATAGTAATTTTGTATAAAATTATATGGAGTTTCTTTTTGTCCAGTTTTGAACAATTAATTTTATGACTTTAAATAATTATATAAAATTATATGGAGCTCATAAGTCATATAATTATTTATAACTGGTTATATAAAATTATATGAAGTTTCTTTTTATCTAGTTTGAAATAATTAATCAATTTTATAACTTTATGTAATTATATTATCGTCCAAAGTTATATAATTATATATAACCATTCATAAAAATTTATATGAAATTTTTTCTAAGCTTTTAAAACAATCTAAAAAATTTTAGAATTCTATATAATTATTTGTATATAATTATATTATATTAAAATTCATATAATTTTACATAAATACTTATGTATAATTATATAAAATTTATTTTCTATTTTTTTAAGAATTACTTAAATTTCATGACTTAGTATAATTTTATATAATTATATTTTAATAAAAAATTATATAATTATTCACAACATTTTATAGATAATTATATAATTTTACATAAAAATTTATATAAAATTATACAAAATTTTTTTTTAAATTGTTAATAATAAATAAATTTTTTCTAAAATTTTCAGGGAAAACAAGTATATTCAAACCACCAAGCTCGAGTAAACGGCCGACAAAATGGCGTCAACGGAGTTAAAAAAGTTCAATGAAAAAGAAAGACAAATTAAATAATAATAATAAAATACAATAATATATTCCAATAAAAATAAGGATAATAATTTAAGTATAAAAAATTCTTTTTACATTAAAATAAATAAAATAAATAAAAAATCAGCACAATAATGACGCGACATTACTGAAGACTAATGCGCGTGACACTTTCATAAAAAAAATTTTAATAAATGACTGTAATAATTCTTTGACTTAAAATGATGACCGTGACTATTTAAGTAATAAATTTTGTACTTAATTTTTCTAAGGGAATATAAATAACAATACAATTTATATATAAATATACAATTAAAAAAAAAAAAAAACTAGACTAGTGTAAATAATTAAAAAAAAAAGCACAAATTAAAACTTAAATGCTTATTTAATACTTTTAATAGAATTTTATTTAATGTTGTTTTTTTGATAGTTAAATTTTAGTTTATTATTATTAATATCGAAGGATATTTATTTATTGTTTTTTACTGCAATAAAACTGCCATTGGATGATAAATTAAAAGGACTTTTATAATATTGGAGAGTTTTAAATTTTGTACGGTATTTTTTCAAAATTTTTTTTAAGCAATAAAAGTTGTTATGTTTAATAAAAAATTTGTTTATCATTTTGAACCTTAAAATAGCAAAAATGTAATTTAAGTTACTGAAAAAATGGTTGTCAATCCTAAAATAGTGATTTTAGGAAAAAATTATAAATTAAAGTGCTTGATGATTAAAGAGGCGATTAATGGGTCTAGGAAATTTTTTAAAAATTATTAATCTTCGATAACTCCCGAGTAAAATGAGCCGTTTCACGACTCATTTGGTCGCAGGTCAATTTTGATTAATGATCTATAGATCATTTGATAAATTATTAATGCGATTTTTGGTAGGAACAAATATTAATTAATAAGGGTTGTAGGTACTCATTTTAATCAGGATTTAAGGATCTAGGTCGCAGTATTAATAATTTTTAAAAATACAAAACTTTTTTTTTCATTAATGATTAATGAGGCGATTAATGGGTCTAGGAAATTTTTTAAAAATAAACTAATTAAAAATTATTAATCTAGGTCGCAGTATTAATAATCTAATTAAAAATAATCAAACTTTTTTTTTCATTAATGATTAATGAGGCGATTAATGGGTCTAGGAAATTTTTTAAAAATAAACTAATTAAAAATTATTAATCTTCGATAACTCCCGAGTAAAATGAGCCGTTTCACGACTCATTTGGCTGCAGGTCAATTTTTATTAATGATCTATAGATCATTTGATAAATTATTAATGCGATTTTTGGTAGGAACAAATATTAATTAATAAGGGTTGTAGGTACTCATTTTAATCAGGATTTAAAGATCCAGGTCGCGGTATTAATGATTTTTAATAATTTCGATTCTACTCGCGAGTCCGCAAGATGGCGACACATAGCCACAAAGAAAAAATTCTTCCAACATGGCGCTGAAGATTGCAAACAATAGAGAACTCAACTGGCCCAGTAACTTCTTGAATCTTTGTAGATAAGAAGAAATTAAGGAGTTCTTCTTTACCATCGTACCGAAGATTCACCACGTAGCCGGAAATAAAGTAGACGCGATTCAGTTGCTCAAGATGGCCGTCCTTTAGGTCCTGAGTAGTCAGTGATTCCAAGTAGGGCTTGAGGACCGAAGAAGCGTGTCTATTAAAAATTGTTATGAAGCCTAGGCGGCTGCGCAGTTGCGACAAGTTGTCCTTAAGGTAGGTTTCTATTTCTTCGGAGTTTTCAGAAGCGGGCTCGGGGTCTAGGGTTAAGGTTTGAGGCTCTCTAGGTGTCGCTGATGTTGAGGTTATAAGCTGCCAGTCTTTTGAGTTCTTGAAGTTGAACCGGAGGTTGGAGAGAGATGAAGTTTGGAGGTTCTTCCAGATCTAAAAGGGTTTTGGTGAAAATAAAGAATTTTGAGCTAGTCTTTATAAAAATGGCTGTAACTCCTAAAATATTGATTTTAGGAAAAAATCATAAGAATACAAAATTATAGCTTATTAAATTTCCTATTAAAAACGTTGTTGTCTCATTGACCTATCTTCAATATTTTAGGAGATATCTCAATTCAAAATCAACTTACCCCACCGTGACTAACCATCCTATGAATCCTAACCAAAGAGCACCCACTATCGCCAATCTTCCCCCTCTCCCCGTTCTCAGCATCCCAAACCTCCACCTCTTTACCGAGAGTAACAACATACGCCGCCAGGTGTCGCACCTGGGAGCTTCCAATCACCACAGAAGCGTCCTTATCTTCCCCAGCGAGTAAACTTGCCAACAGCGCGGCCCTTCCAAAGTAATCCACCTTTCCAATCTTGAGCGCCTGCCTCGGTAAAACAGGTCCCACTTCCCTCGGCAGGGTCCTTAACCTCATAACCACCTCCTCCACCTCCCCCTCCAGGCCCTCAAGCTTATACGGGACCACACATCTCTGCAAAGTCTTCGCAAGGACATCAATTTTAACCTTATCCTCCTTCCCGAAGTTCTTCTTTACCTTCAGACACACATAGATCCTCGTGTCGCCATTTTCTTTGTACCCGAACCTCAAAATGGGTTTCTTCAACCTCGACAAGGTCACCCATCGCTCAATTTCAAAGTAATTCTCGTTACCTTCAGTCGGTATTGCAGATTCTCCTAACCATTGAAGCCCCCAGGTCGGATGCTGATCATACAAGACCATTTTAATCCCCATTTCCTCTTCAAAATTCTTCGGAAGCCCGAAATTGAACGTCTGCTGCCATATTGGGTTCGCAGAGTCCGCCATTTTGGTGACTTCAACAATATCTCCCCACTGAAGCACTAAAACTGGATTAGCGCGGCCATTTTCTTCTCTAACCGGCACCTGGATGGCTCTGAGCACCGTCAGAGCTAACACTTCATTTTTTTCCACCATTATCTGGGCCTCAGGCTTGCTGTCGGCCATTTTGAGGGGCCTTAAGGGCCTAGCGGCCTCAAACCACCTATTAAACGTAATATCTCTTAGAGAAAACGTCGCTGGCTCGTTTATAACCTTTGTGGCGGCTTCTACAACTGTTTTAGCAACTGGTCCGACAGATGGCGCCTCGATACAAAGTCCGGGGTCCACTAGCGCGAAAAATGGCGCATTTTGGGCCCTAGAGGGCCTTATGGCAACGTTCTGGGGGTCGTTGGGGTCCGAAGTGGGCGGAGCGTGGTAACTTTTCGGCTTTGAAGGGGCTTCGAGGCTCACCAAGGCCGCGCATTGGCCGGAGATCAAAGGAGAGGGGAGCGAGAAGTCTATTGTGATTGGATAGTTCCTTACACACCTGCTGGGCAATGGGAGAGGTAAAATTACCGATGAGGAGCTTGAAGTTAGCTTCAGGCTCAAGTTCGGCTCCTTTTTTAACAATAATTTGCACAACTTGGAACAAAATGGCGGTGATAGCCGGCAAATGGCGGTGTCTTGGTGCAACAGGCTCACTGAGGTTATCAAGCCAGGGTCAGCCATTTTGAACTCGTTTATAGAGAATTCGAGAACTCGCGACTGGGGAGAGGGCGCTCGGGAGGTTATTATCTTCCGGTGGCTGTCTAATTGGTAAGGTTTTACTATTTCTGTCGTCAGAGGGCCTGGGGAAATATACAGGCCGTCTTCTGAGAATTTTTGCGGCGAAGATTGGCTCCGCGGGTGGGAGGTTAAGTGTATAACAGAAGATGTAGATGGCGCTGTAAGACGAGCGCGGGAAAACTTGAAACTAAGTCTTCGGTCTAATGTCGGCTCTTCGAGGCCGAGAATGAAGTCTAGGTGCTTAGACATTTTTTTTTAGACACTGTTATTTTCACTTTACACTTTTTAAGGTTTAATTTAAAAAAATTTATTTTAATTTTTTTAAATTTATTTTTAGCACTTTAAAAATATTTTTGTAAGGAATTCTGGAGAATGTTGAGGTACGGATGGTTGTATGACAACAAGTGGATATGTTGTGGCCGTGTTGTCATGGTAACGTTACGCATGAGCGACTACTGGTTTTATAATACAGGGTTGTAAGTTGAAAGTTTTTATAAGTGTGTTTTATTAAAATTATTTATAATAATTTACATTAAAATTATTATTGATAAAAAATTTAAATTAATAAAAAATAAATTTTTTATTAATAATAATAGAGGTTGCATTTAATTTTTGAGTCGTTAATTTTATTAAAATTTTGGTCGAGAAAAAAAAATTAGTTATATAGTAAATATATTTTTAAAAATTTAATTAATGAGTTAATTAATAAAAAATATTTTTTTAATTAATGCAAAATATGGTAAAAGCTTTAAAAAACAAAATTTTAAAAATTTAGTTCGGAAAAAATCTGTAAGATGGCACTGCGCGCCGGATTAGGAACTACGTCACTCTCCCGCGAAAATTCAAATCCAAAAAATAATTCTCTATTTAAATAAGTCACCTGGACATATTTAAACAATTTTTCTTTCAATTTACAACCCTGTTACCAATATTAAAAACCAAATAAATTATTTGTAATAAAAATTTATTATACAACATATCTATTCAATAAACAGTTCATCAATTAATATAATTATCAATATATTTCAGTTAATTCCTCTTAATCCTAATGAGATTATGCAGTTATATTATCAATAATAATAATAATGTGCGAGCAAGATTCGATTTCAGAGAGAATGAGTCTAGTTATCTGTTAATTATTTTATCAATATCATTGATTCAGATTTGGTAGGTCAGCCTTGCTCTCCTTGTACCAGATAAATGCATTAGATATCATTAATATTTTTTTTTATATATATCTATATGAGTATATACATTTTATTTTATTAATATTAATATATATATTTATTAAATAATTCGCAGAGTTTTTACTCTCACAGAGAATAAAATTCTGGCGTAGTTTTTTTATTTTTAAACGGTACCATGGCACCATCACATTACGCCTAATTTGATCGATTAATTATTATTGCATTTAATTATTATTATTAAGGGCACTTTAATTAATTATTTTGTAAGTAGTAATTTGTTCAAATTTTTTTGATTAATTTTGTGACAATTGTCGAATCTCCTAACAAATAGCATGCGTCGAAAAGTATAATGAGTACCTTAATTAATTAAAATTAATTGTTAAGAAAAAATTTTAGGATAAATAAAAAAATTTGTAATTTTTCAAAGGTACTCATTTTACAAAATTATTGATTGGTCCTTATAGTGATCATGCTACTAAAAATGATCTAGTTTCACGAAAATATATTCACCACTCGCTTTGGGAAGCTTTATGTCCGACCAACTGTTGTCCAGGTCCTCGTTGTTCGCGGTCTTCAGGATCAGCTTATGCTTAGGGGTTCCGTTGTGAGGGATGCGAAGTTCTATTGGCTTGTTGAATTTCATCCCGCGAGGACCACACTCGATCAACGGGCTCATCAGCGACTCACCTAGAACAGAAAAATATTGAATTAGTAAAAAGAAAATTTTAAAATAAAAGCCTCGTTGACACTATAATAATAAAATAGCCTTATATTGATTTAAAATAGAATTAACAAGAGGTTAAAGACAAAAAAAAATTTTTTAAAAATAAACTAATTGAAAATTATTAATCTTCGATAACTCCCGAGAAAAATGAGCCGTCTCACGACTCATTTGGCCGCAGGTCAATTTTGATTAATGATCTATAGATCATTTGATGAATTATTAATGCGATTTTTGGTAAGAACAAATATTAATCAATAAGGGTTGTAAGTACTTATTTTATTCAGGATTTAAAGATCTAAGTCGCAGTATTAATAATTTTTAAAAATACAAAACTTTTTTTTTCATTAATGATTAATGAGGCGGTTAATGGGTCTAGGAAATTTTTTCAAAATAAACTAATTGAAAATTATTAGTCTTCGATAACTCCTGAGAAAAATGAGCCGTCTCACGACTCATTTGGCCGCAGGTCAATTTTGATTAATGATCTATAGATCATTTGATGAATTATTAATGCGATTTTTGGTAGGAACAAATATTAATCAATAAGGCTTGTAGGTACTCATTTTAATCAGGATTTAAAGATCTAGGTCGCAGTATTAATAATTTTGAATAATTTCGATTATTCAATTTTATAAATTTTTCATATATTGCTGATTAAAAAAAAAAAAAAAGATCATATAATTAGATGAAAGAATTAATTTAAACAGCATTTAAAAAAATAGCTTTTCTAACGAAAGTTGTTGAGAAAGACGCTCGGAAGATTTGATGGTGCTAACTTTATTTTTAAATAATTAATATTTAATATTGGACAGTAATTTTTTTTTCAATTTTTTAATTAATTAGAATTTTATAAAAATTTATATAGTTATTCTTATTACAGATAAAGATATTTAAAAATAATTTAGGGTGTCAATATTTGAGGCTTTTACCTTATTAGGAAAAATTATAGAGAGATTTTTTGTAGAAAATTATGCTAAGCTACAATTATTTTTATTATTAATAATAATTAATTGTATAATTAAAATTAATGCCAACCCACCACCTATTAACTAAAAAATTCTCACCCTTATTAACCGGCGGTGAAATAGATCCACGTTGTTTAATGTTAATGTCATTAATATCAAGATTATCAAAATCGTAATAAATGTCATTTTGGTTATTATTAATAGTGTTATTAACAGGCGGTACTACGGCGAAATATATTTCCTGGTGGTTAATCGTTGGTATAGCACCAGGAGGTATTGTCATAACAACATCTCCTGGCCCTCGCAAGATACCTCCCTCGTTATTAAACAATCCCTTTGTAATTCCTGAGGTCCTATTAATCACCACCACCATTTTATTAATCACTCAGTTAATAAAAATTAATTAATAGAGAAGTTGCATTGTATATTATCATAAGTTACTAAAAAAAAATTATTTAAATACATCAAGGTGGCCTATTTAAATAGAGAATTATTTTTAAAATTTGAATTTTCGCGGGAGAGTGACCTAGTTCCTAATCCGGCGCGCAGCGCCATCTCACAGATTTTTTCCGAACTAAAATTTTTTATTTTTGTTTTTTTAAGCTTTTACCATATTATACATCAATTAATTAATAATTTTTTTTATTAATGACTCAAAAATTAATTGCAACTTCTCTATCATTATTAATAAAAATAAAAAAAATATTTACCTGACATTATGATGGATCGGCGGCTTCCGGTATAATTCAAAAGCGCTGCCACGTTGCTCGCGACTTCCCGCCAAATCTAACCCGCTCGGCTCGCGGTTGTGTCCGCCATTATGCGCATGCCCATTAATCGCATTGTTAACATTGTTATTATTATTATTACTGCTATTATTAGCATTATTAACATTGCTCCTGCTGTGGCTGTGGTTAAGAGTCAGCTGGCCAGCTGAGTTGCTGTGAGCGTGGCTGGCCACCGGCGGGTTGGAGTGGGAGTGTGAGTGACTCAAACTGTGAGAGTGGTTATGGTTGTTCGTGTTGATAAGGAAGTTCCCGTCCTGTCCGCGGTTAGGCGGGGGGATGTTGTAGTAGTATTGTCCGCTGTTCCTGTGGTTCCCGTTGTTCTCGATCTGCAATTCAAAATTTTATTTAAATATTAAGTTAATAAATATATAATAATTATTTTGAGGTTACTTACCCCATTGTGAACGTGAGAGGGCGCTAGTGAGTAATTCTTGGCGTGCTGGTACAAATTCCCGGGGTTGTTCTCGTCCGGAACAGTGTTCTGGACAGGCGGCCGGTAGTTCTTGGGCTTAGGTGGCGGCACTGGCTTGTAAGTTCCAGTGTTGCTGTTGCCCTTAGAGGGCGTTGTTGGTAATACTTTGTGTTCCGGGCGACTATTAATTTAAATTTAAAGGTTAAGCAATTAATAAGCTTGTATTTAGTAGTCGAATGATTGTTTCTAACCTGTACTTAGCGTAGTCCCCGCGATTCTCTTGGCTAGCTGTCGGCTGCGCAGTGGACCTTGTAAACCGATAAGGATCATGAGCTCTCTGGGGTATGTTACCAGTCTTAAGATCATCAGGAACATTAGGACCCAATCGACCAGTTGAGGTGTTCAAATTTGGGCCTACGTTGTACACCTGGTTGCCGTTGGTATTGTATGAGTCGTATGAAGACATACTATCATAACTTCCCTTTAAATTAATTGATTTGTAATTTTGGATTAATTACCCGAGAAAAAATATTTATATATATTTATATATAAATTGGTTATATATGATTATATATGAAAAATGGCCAAATATAATCATATCTAATTATATATAATTATGTATAATTATATATAACAATATTTAATTATAGATTTATTACATCTAATTAATTATTGGGTTAATTAATTTTATGGATAGAGTATTTAATATGGTCCTACGCAATTCTGTGTAACCGATCAAAATGCAAAAAAAATATCTAGATCTAATTTTATGGCTATAACACCAGCGGTCACCCATCCAACTATTAACCCTACTCAATGCTGCTTAACTTTGGTGATCTCCGTGCGTCTTGAAGTTTCTGTCTGCTGTGCTGCTGTCTTAGACAATAATGATTCTATGATCTACTTAATGTATCATATGAGTTTATCATAAATATAATATAAAAATTGATTTTATAATATATATTTGGATAGTCATAATTCATAATTTATTTATCTTATTTATCTTACCGAATTTCATTATAATATAACACTTATTTAAATAATAATAAAAATAATGATCTTACTATTACGTAGTAGCGGAGCAGACCAAAACATCTCATAGGAAATGTAACAAATTTTGTATTTCAGAATTATTTAAACGGAATTATAAACATCATTTTACACTTTTGGTAATTACCAAAAAAAATTTTTTTTTCAAACAAAAAATTTTTATGCATGTTAATTATATATAAGCATATATAATTATATATGATTATATATAACCTAATATACAATTCCATATATAATCATGTATAATTATATATAATTATATATAACAATATTTAATTATAAATTTATTACATCTAATTAATTATTGGGTCAATTTTATGGATAGAGTATTTAATATGGTCCTACGCAATTCTGTATAACTGATCAAAATGCAAAAAAAATATCTAGATCTAATTTTATGGCTATAACAACAGTGGTCACCCATCCAACTATTAACCCTGCTCAATGCTGCTTAACTTTGGGGACCTCCGTGCGCCTTGAAGTTTCTGTCTGCTGT